TTTTTAAATAAAATTCATCGATATTAATCTTCTCATAATGAAAAGTTGTCGATAGCAACTTTTCTATGACGAAAAGTTATCGATAACTCAATTTCTATAGAAAAAGTGTTATCGATAACAACTTTTCTTGATAGGAATATTACCGATAACAGTTTTTGTAGAGAAAGATGTTATCGATTACAATATTTCTATAGAGAAAAGTTTTCGATTACAACTTTTCCATAGAGAAACGTTATCGATAACAGCTTTTCAAGCAATGTTATCGATAACATATTTTCTATAAAGCAATGTTATCGATAACATATTTTCTATAAAGCAATGTTATCGATAACATTCTATATAGATAAAATTTGTCGATAATGAGGTTTTTTATAAATATATGTTTTCGATAACAATATTTGTTTAAATAAATGTTATCGATAATTATTTTTTATAAATAAAATTTATCGATAATAATCTTCTCATAAAGAAAAGTTGTCGATAACCGTTTTTCTATGAAGAAAATTTGTCGATAGCAGCTTTTCTATAAAGAAAAGTTATCGATAACTTTATTTCTGTAGAAAAAATAACAACTTTTCTTGATGGCAATGATATCGATAATAAGGAAATATTATCGGTAATTACATTTCTATATAGAAAATTTATTGAGAATAACACAATTTCTATGGAAAAAATTATTGAAAATACCTTTTGCATAGAGAAAAATGTTATCGATAATGACATTTCTACAAAAAACCCGTGTTATCGATAACAAAATTTTTAGTAGGAAAAATTACTGACGTTATTCCATTATTAAGTGGTGTTTGCTGTCAAATATTTTTTGATTAATTGTCCTGCCATTAATAATAATCGATGTTTGGTGGTTAATACCGCCTCACCATAAAGAGAAGTGGGAGAGGGGGAAAGTGAGAGTGAAAAAATTTCCCTCTCACTCTCTCCATTAATTGCATAATAACGCCAAACGGCATGCATTGCAGTGCATTTTTATTTTTTGACCACTTAACAAATCCAACATGCCCTATATGGTTGCCTCCAGGTGGTGGTGGTGGCTGTTGTTGGAGTGGGACTATTGCAACAGCCTCATAACCGCACACATAAAACCTGACCACACTTCGAAATGGAAAGCACAATAAAAAAACGGAAAAACCTGACCAGATCCGAATTGACCAATATCAGCAAACATTTTAACAGCGGCTTAAAAATCGGTTATTTGCCATTTTTGGCTGGCCGTTTGTTGCTGCTCTGGTTGACCCAACATGGTAGGATACCGCACCATACGATAGGAGAGGATATGATAAAGTTGTGAATTTTTATGTAATTATTTTGTGCAACAACAACAACAGCGATACCAACAACAACAATAGGACCAGTAACAATAACAGCAACCACAACATAAAGCGCCCCGGAGCCACCAAACAAACAGGCTGGCAGGGCAGTAAGCCAGCCTCATCCTGATATGGTCAAAGTGACAGTAACCACCATCATCGATTGGTTGCACGGTTAGTCAGTTAGTGGGTCGGTTTGGAGGGTCGGTCGGGACGGTCTGAATATAAAAGCTGAATTGGGTAAAGTGTGGTGGAGGATTTAATAGAGATTATAGAAATTCATCTGTGGTTTGTTTTGAGGCTCTCGGTATTGGTATTTTGGTCTTTATTGGGTTGTTGTTGTTGTGTTCCTGTTTGTTGTTGTTATTTTTTTCGGTTTGGCTTTATTACTATTTTGTTGTTGTTGTTTGCAATGAATAGAAGTGGATTTTAATATGGTCAAAATTGCGGAAAATTCCATAAGCTGTTGTATTTACAGCAAATGATTTATGAAGCTTAAAGCAAACACACACACTCACAGACTCACACACACATGGACATACATATGGACATATAGGAAATGTGGCTGTTGTTGTTGTACAGATGTTTTCCAGTAGTTTTTCATAGGCAGGGCAGGAACGGACATGGCAAATGGGCAAATGGATTTGAATTTGTCAATAAAGTTGTAAATTTTAATGCGATTATGATATAGTAGGACAATACAAAACCGAACATAAACAACAAAAACACAATTTAATTCTTGTTGTTGTTGTTGTTGGAACATAAACCCTTCTTTTTTGCCGTGAGCAGGACGGTTGTTGTTATCGGCAATATGTTTGGCATACACCCATTTGTTATCGGATTATTTTCACTATAGAAACGATTTTATAATTGTTTTGAAATTTAAAATAAATTGTTATCGATAAATAAAAATTTTATGGATAAATTTTATTTATGCAAAAAAATTGTTATCGATAATAGTTTTCTTTGAAAAAAATTAATCGTTAATGATTCTCTTTGTAAAAGTTGTTTTTCGAAGGCTTTTATCTTTAGAAAATTAATTATCGATAACATGTATAGGGAAACAATTTTGTTATCGATTATAAGTATTCTTAATACTATCGACAACATTTATCCATAAACGAGATTGTTATCGTCAAACTATTCAGTAGTGGCTTCTTTCTCTTTACAATTATGTTCTGATCGATCCTTTTTCACAATAGCAAATATGTTATCGATAACTCTTCTCCATAAAAACCTTGTTATCGATGACTTTTCTCTATAGAAAATATATTATCGATAATTTTTCTTCAAAGAAAAATTTTTTTTTATCGATAAAGAAATGTTGCTATCGTAACTTTTCTCTATAGAAAAGTTTTTATCGATAATATTTCACCATTGAAAAGTTATTATCGATAACTTTTCTTTATAGAAAATTTATTATCGATAACTTTTCTCCATGGAATAGTTATTATCGATAACTTTTCTCTATAGAATAGTTATTATCGACAACTCGTCTATATAGAAAAAATTATTATCGATAAGTTCTTTATATAGAAAAGTTATTATCGATAACTTCTCTATATAGAAAAGTTATTGTCGATAACTTGCCTCAATAGAAAACTTATTATCGATAACTGTTCTCTATAGAAAAGTTCATATCGATAATTTTTCTCTATAGAATAGTAATTATCGATAACTGTTCTCTATAGAAAAGTTATTATCGATCATTTTTCTCTATAGAATAGTAATTATCGATAACTTTTCTCTATAGAAAAGTTTTTATCGATAACTTTTCTCTATAGAAAAGTTATTATCAATGTCATTGCTTTATAGAAAACTTGTTAACGATAATTTTTCTTCAAAAAAAGTTATTATCGATAAATGTTCTCTATAAAAAAGTTATTATCGGTAACTTTTCTCTATAGAAATGCTATTATTCATAACTTTTCCTCAAAGAAAAATTATTATCGATAACTTTTCTCTATAGAAAAGTTTTTATCGATAACATTTCTCTATAGAAAAATTATTATCGATAACTTTTCTCTATAGAAATTTATTATCGATAACTTTTCTCTATAGAAAAGTAATTGTCGATAACTTCTCTCTATAGAAAAGTAATTATAGATAACTTTTCTCTATAGAAAAGTTATGATCGATAGCTTTTCTCTATTTATCGATTACTCTAAAAAAATAATTATCAATAAGGTTATTATCGATAACTTTTATCTATAGAAAAGCCATTTTAGATAACTTTTCTCTATATATAAAAGTGATTATCGATAACTTTTCTCAATAGAAATGTCATTATTGATAACTTTATTATCGATAACTTATCTTTAAACAAATGTTGCTATCGATAAGTTGTCTACACATAAAACATGTTAGCGATAAATTTTCTTAAAGAAAAGGTATTATCGATAGTATTTATTAAATTAAATGTTTATCGATATATATTATCCATAATAAATATGTAATCGATAACTTCTTCTCATTGAAACGTTTTTATCGATGACATTTCTTCATAGAAATTTTGTTATCGATATTTTTCGTTACAGAAAATTATTTATCGACTACAATTCTCTTTATACAAAATATTATCGACAAACCTTTCCTTACATAAAGTCTGTTTTCGATAACTTTTCTCAATATAAGGGTAATTACGATAATGTTCTATAGAAAAGATTTTATCAACAAATATACAGAATATATGTTATCGATAAATTTTCGTAATAGAGAATTTGTTATTGATATTTTTCTTATCGAAAACTTTTACCGATAACTTCTTTGCCTACAAAAGTTGTTATCGATGATTTTTATCCTAAAAAATGTAGAAAATTTGTTATCGATAAATTTTCTTTCTAGAAAATTTGTTATTAATAAATTTTATTTATAGAAAAATTGTTACCGATAAATCTTCTTTCTAAAAAAAATGTTATCGATAAATTTTCTTAATATATAATTTGATATCGGATTAGTTTCTTAATATAAAAATTTTTATCGATAAATTTTCTTTACAAATAATTTGTTATCGGGCATTTTTCATAATAGAAAAATTGTTATCAATACAATTTCTATCTAAAAATTTGTTATCGATAACTTTTTTCTTTAAAATAATGGTTATCGATAAATTTTCTCTCTGTAGGAAAGTGGTAATCAATAACTTTTCTCTACAAAAATAGTTCTTATCGATAACTCTTCTGTACAAAAAAAGTAGTTATCGATAACTTTTTTGTGCAAAAAAATTGATTATCGATAATTTTACACTATATAATATCGGCCATCAACCAATTTTATTTGCAGAAAGGTGATAAACGTAAAGATATCTTTATATAAAAATTAGAATTAATCGATATTTGAATCCTATTTTTTATCGATTACTTCACAGCACAAAATATTCGTTATCGACAGCAGGTTTTTATTAAAAATTGATTTTAAATGAAAAATGGTCGCTCCCTTTGTATTTCTTTTCATCGGAAAAAATATCTTGTTGGAATTTATTGTTGTTATCGAAATGTGTTCATTATCGAAAGCCTGTTTGAGGCATACAGCGCAGAAGATTACTAAATTGGAGGCTACAGCTAACTTATTAAAATTGATATCTTATTTTTTACTATTTTTTAACATCATTAATAATATTTCCTTCTTCCCTCTTTCCCCTCTCCTTTCCCTTTCCATTTTTTTCTATTCTCCCAGAGCCTTGTCTCATCGCCACAAAAATTACGAAAAATTCGTATAATCGTTGTGTGCGGTATCATTGTTGCTGCTCTACTGGCAACGGCCATCTATTTCATTGCGACCGCCGGCGAGGATTCCGCATCAGGTGATGGCAATGGCAGTGGTGGTGGTGGTGGTTCGGGCGGTTCGAATGCCATCCACTTGGAAGATATCTTACAGGGTAAGCTGTTATCGCGTTCCTTCAACGGCAGTTGGTCGACAGGCAGGAATATCATCTACAAAGAGAATCATGTAAGTTGTTGTCATCATGCTGTGACCCTTCGATAAGATTTCAATCAAAATGCTACCATAAAGAATTTTCAAAATTTACAGGCTATCGTCGAACTGAATGTCAAGACGAAAACGAAGACGACATTGATGATGGATGAACTTGTAAGTAGGAAAACAATACGAATTTTGCATAGCCACATTGCAGTAATTAAGGGTTGTGGAGGCGATCGTGGATCGGCAAAAGAGATGTGATGATGAGGAAACTAAAATTTTCAAAATTTTTAAAGTGAATGAGAATTATGCGCCGTACTTACAATGTAGTGTGCATTGAAGTCAACTTTTGGCTTATAAATCATCACCTCTCTTTGTTGAAACATTTCGATACTGATTTATAATTTATCTCTTAATTTACCAACTCTCTATCTCTCCTTTCTTCTCCCTCTCTCTTCCTCTCTCTCTCTCTTCTTCCTCACTCTTTTCCCCCTTTAGCAACAATATGTTCTCTTTGAGAAATCAGCTGATGGCACCCTCCTCCTGCTGGCCAAAAACTACAAGAAGAATTTCCGTCACAGTTATGAAGCCGAATATGACATTTACAACATCAGCAGCGGTCAAATACAACCTCTGCTCATTCAAAATCAAGTCCATCCTCTAATCTTGGTACAATGGGCTCCCGTTGGCACTGGTCTCGTCATTAACTTCCAACGTAATTTGTACTATAAACCCACAGCATTTGCTCAAGAAATTGCCCTTACCGATGACACCAATTTAGCCATACTGAACGGCATTCCCGATTGGGTCTACGAAGAAGAGGTGTTCGCCTCGAACTCAGCCGTCTGGTTCAGTCCCGATGGCAGTAAACTGGCCTTCATCCAATTCGATGATAGTCCAACGCCTGTCATTAACTTCCCCATTTACGGTGAAGCTGGTGATATACGTTTCCAATATCCCTATAATCGTTTGGTGGCCTATCCGAAGGCGGGTTCACCAAATCCCCGTGTCAAGCTGTTCACATCGGATTTAGCAAGCGCTGCTGCTGGTAATACAGACCACTTGACTGAAATCCCAAGGCCCAGTGCATTGAATACAGAAAGTGATTATATTATCACAGTAGTCGATTGGCTAAATAACACGAATGTGTTATCGGTGTGGATGAATCGGATTCAGAATTCGGCGCATGTGCAGATCTTCAATGGGCTGAGAAGGCAAGAGGTAAGTTTGGGGACGAAAAAAAAATTAAATTGTGGGTATCGATAAAAGTTTTCCGAAAAGTTGTAATCGACCACTTTTTTCCATGGAAAAGTATTTATCGATAACTTTTATCTTCAAATAAATTTTTATCGACCACTTTTTCCGTGGAAAAGTAGTTATCGAAAAATTTTCTCTTTAAAAAATCTAGATATCGATAACTTTTCTCTTAAAAAAATTAGTTATCGATAGCATTTTGCAAAAAAATGTTGTTATCGATAACATTTCTCTTTTGAAAAGTTGTTATCGATAACATTTCTTTTTAGAACAGTTGTTATCGACAAATTTTCTGTTTAGAAAAGTAGTTATCGATAACTTTTTGGCAAGGAATTGTTGTTATCGAAAAAATTTCTCTCAAAAAAAGTAGCTATCGATAACTTTTTGCATAGAAATATTGTTATCGATAACTTTTCTTTATAAAAAAGTAGTTATCGATAATTTTTTTTGCATAGAAATGTTGTTATCGATAACTTTTCTCCTTAAAAAAGTAATTATCGATAATTTTTCTCTTTAAAAAAGTAGCTATCGTAAACTTTTTTTGCAAAAACATGTTGTTATCGATTACTTTTCTTTTTATAAAAGTAGTTATCGATAACTTTTCTCTTAAAAAAAGTAATTATCGACAACATTTTTGCATAAAAATGTTGTTATCGATAACTTTTCTCTTTAAAAAAGTAGTTATTGATATCTGAAAGTTTTTTTCAAGGAAAGGTAGTTATCGATAACTTTTATTTTCTGATAAATTGTTATCGACCACTTTATTTCATAGAAATGTTGTTATCGATAGCTTTTATGTTTAAAAACTTGTTATCGAAAACTTTTCTCTTTAAAAAAGTAGTTATCGAAAACTTTTCTCTTTAGAAAAGTAGTTATCGATAACTTTTCTCTTTAGAAAAGTTGTTATCGATAACTTTTCTCTTTAGAGAAGTAGTTATCGATAATTTTTTTGCAAGGAATTGTTGTTATCGATAACTTTTCTCTTAAAAAAAGTAATTATCGACAACATTTTTACATAGAAATGTTGTTATCGATAACTTTTCTCCTTAAAAAATTAATTATCGATAATTTTTCTCTTTAAAAAAGTAGCTATCGTAAACTTTTTTTGCAAAAACATGTTGTTATCGATAACTTTTCTTTTTAAAGAAGTAGTTATCGATCACTTTTCACTTTAGAAATGTAGTTATCGATAACTTTTCTCTTTAGAAAATTGTTAAAACTTTTTCATAGAAATTTTGTTACATGTTGTTATCGAAAACTTTTCTCTTTAAAAAAGTAGTTATCGAAAACTTTTCTCTTTAGAAAAGTAGTTATCGATAACTTTTCTCCTAAAAAAAGTAATTATCGACAACATTTTTGCATAGACATGTTGTTATCGATCACTTTTCACTTTAGAAAATTAGTTATCGATAGCTTTTCCCTTTATAAAAGTAGTTATCGATACATTTTCCCTTTTGAGAAGTAGTTATCGATAATTTTTTTCTTTATATAAGCAGATATCGATCATGAAAAATTGTTATCGATAATTTTTCCTTAACAAAGTACATATTTTCAAAATTCCTCTCTTTTGCAGATCTTCAGTTTGGAATCGAAAACCGGTTGGGTTGATTTCTTTGCTGCCCCCTTCAAAAATCGTGATGGTTCTCGTATTGCCCTCATTCTGCCTCAATCTCAAGGTGATGCCGGAGATTATCGTCATTTGTGTCTGCTATCCACCTCCTCGGGTAATAATAAACCGGAAGCGATTACCAAGGGTAAATTTGTTGTGACCTCAATTCTGCATTGGGACAGTGCTAGTGATGTGATCTTTTATACCGCCAACACCGAACAAAATCCCGAATATTTGCATGTCTATGCGATCCGTGCGGCAACGGGACAAACTGCCAAATGTTTAACCTGTAAATTGCATACATCGAATGGTGAGTGGGGGAGAGGAGGACCACTATTTGTTAATTCAATTGCATAATTTATTTCGATTTCGAATTTCAGGTGTCGAACAAACCTATTATAGTGCCGATTTTAATGCCATCAATCAAGTGGTAATTACCTCCATGGGACCAAGCATACCAATTACCTCAGTCTATGAATGGAATTATTCGGGAAGTAAGTATTCGCGGTTTTTTTTATTTGGTCCTTCGACCTAATTAACCGATATTAATTTTCTTCTGACCAGATCAAGTCCATCTCAGCAAATTAATGGATTGGGAAACCAATGACAATCTGCGCCGCAAACTGGAAGGTACCGCTATGCCCACCATCGAAATTGAAACCGTTCGCATGTCAAATAATTTCACCGCCAAGGTTCTGATGCAGCTACCTCCAAATATGGATCGCAGCGGCAAAACAAAATATCCCATGTTGGTGGATGTCTATGGTGGTCCCGATTCCTATTCGGTAGGTTACAAAGGCTCTTAAATTTTATTTCGCAGAATTCAAAGTGATTCTTTCTTCTTTTAGGTTGTGAACAAATGGATCTTGGACTGGGGCACTTATCTCTCCTCAAATCAATCTGTGATTTATGTTAAAATCGATGGACGCGGTTCGGGGCTACGGGGTGAGAAGCTGCTACATTCCGTATATCTGAAATTGGGTACTGTGGAAATTGCCGATCAAATTGAGGTGGCCCAGTGAGTAGTCAAGAATTAAAAATTTATTTATTAGGGGTACTAATTTCGATCTTCCACCCTCTCTTCCAGATATTTACAACAAAAACATCCCTTCATCGATGCCGAACATTCCGGCATTTGGGGCTGGAGTTATGGTGGCTATGCCGCCGCCATGGCCTTGGCCACTGATAACAAAAATGTCTTCCGTTGTGCTGCCTCAATTGCCCCAGTTACCGATTGGGCCTATTATGGTGAGTCATTTGAAATCTCAAGACCTTCTTTTTCCCAAAAATTTAATGCTCTTCCTGTGGTTGTTGTTTTTCAGATTCCATTTACACCGAACGTTACATGAGCCTACCCACACTCAATGAAATCGGTTATACTGCGTCGCGACTCAGCACCAAGGCGACAAATCTGAAGGGCAAGAAATTCCTTTTGGTCCATGGTACCCTCGATGATAATGTCCATTATCAACAGGCCATGATATTGGCGAAGAATTTGGAGCGACATGATATTTTGTTCAAACAAATTGTAAGTAGAAAACGGGATAGGGGGTAAGGGGGACCTAAAGGGGGACTTAGGGGCCAAGAAGACCCCAGAGGCATGAAGTTTCGCTGCAGACTTTATGTGGATAATCGAAAATCGCCTTTGAGTGTTATTCGAAGTGTTCGGATTAGCCAAAAAAAATGTATCCGAAGTACTCGGATAACCTATAAATGTTATCCAAAGTGTTTGGATAACCTACAAATGTTATCCGAAGTGTTCGGATAACCTATAAATGGTATCCGAAGTGTTCGGATTACCTATAAATGCTATCCGAAGTGTTCGTATAATCTATAAAGATTATCCGAAGAGTTCGGATAACCTATATATGTTATCCGATGTGTATTCGAAGTGTACGGATAACCTATAAATGTTATCCGAAATGTTCGGATAACCTATAAATGTTATCCGAAGCGTTCAAATAACCTAAAAATGTTATCCGAAATGTTCGGATAACCTATAAATGTTATCCGAAGTGTTCGGATAACCTATAAATGTTATCCAAAGTACTCGGATAACCTATAAATGTTATCCGAAGTACTCAAATAAACTTTAATTGTTATCCTAAGTACTCGGATAACCTATAAATGTTATCCGAAGTGTTCGGATAACCTATAATTGTTATCCAAAGTGTTAAGATAATCTATAATTGTTATCCAAAGTGTTCAGATAATCTATAAATGTTATCCAAGGTGTTCGGATAACCTATAAGTGTTATACGAAGTATTCGGATAACCTATACATGTTATCCGGAGTGTTTGGATAACCTTTAAATATTATCCGAAGTGTTCGGATAACATATAAATATTATCCGAAGGGTTCGGATAACATATAAATATTATCCGAAGTACTCGGATAACCTATATATGGTATCCAAAGTAATCGGATAACCTATATATGTTACCCGAAGTAATCGGATAACCTATATATGTTACCCGAAGTAATCGGATAACCTATAAATGTTATCCGAAGTGTTCGGATAATCTAAAAATGTTATCCAAAGTGTTCGGATAACCTATAAATGTTATCCGAAGCGTTCAGATTATCTTTAAATGTTATCCGAAGTGTTCGAATAACCAATAAATTTTATCCGAAGTATTCGGATAACCTATAATTGTTATACGAAGAGTTCGGATAACCTATAAATGTTATCCGAAGTGTTCGCATAACCTATAAATGTTATCCGAAGTGTTCGGATAGTCTGTAAATGTTATCGGAAGTTCTCCGAAAACTTATAAAAGTTATCCGAAGTGTTCGGATAACCTATAACTGTTATCCGAACTACTCGGATAACCTATAATTGTTATCCGAAGTGTTCGGATAACCTAAATATGTTATCCGATGTGTTCGGATAACCTATAAATATGATCTGAAGTGTTCAGAAAACCTATAAAACTTATCCGAATGGTTTGGATAACATTTAGTTTTTATTCGAAATACTCCGATTACCTCAATTTTTTATTAATATTTTCTTTTTGTCTCTCTCTTCCTTTCTTTCCAGAGCTATCCCGATGAAGATCATGCTTTAGCCGGTGTTAGACCTCATTTATATCATTCATTGGATCGTTTCTTTGGCGAATGTTTTGCCCAAAAGCGTATGGTCTATAGAAAATAAATATAGATCGAACCAAACCAACCAAAATTTGAAATCCAAATTCAAAATCTTAAATCAAAAGAAAAACAAACACACACAATTTTTGCCATTTATACTTCAATTATCAATGAGGAGTTAACAGAAAATGAATCGAAAAATTAAAAACAAAAAAATACTAACTAACAACAACAACAAAAACACAGCTAACAACAAAATATTGTACTTATACATACAATATATATAATTTATTTATTATATAGCATTTAATAACAATGAAGAAAAAAAAACAAGAACAACAACCAAGGCCTACAATTTCCAGTCGTCAGGGGGTGGATCATAAATTTGGGGGGAATTTTTTTCATAATTGGAATTTATTTCAAAATTCAATTTTGCATTGCGTTTTTGTTCATCTGTCTATACGGTGCTGTGATATGATTGAGGTTCAAGTCGGATATTAGCATAAATTACAAAACAAAAAATCGATACCAACACAACAAAATGACCAACAAAAAATAACAGGTATTTTTTGAAAATAGTTTTCAAATTTTTTTTAATAATTTATTTGTTCTAATTTTTATAAATTTCGTATTCGTTATACTTTTCCTTAACATCGAGAACTTCGTTCATATCATTCCACCACGGATTTCACCCCCACAAACAGTCATTTTGAATGCCTACCATCTACTTTGAGTATTTCTCGCTCTCTCTCTCTGTCTATTTCTCTGTAAGCTCTTCAACCTATCCCTCTCTCTCTCTCTCTAGTTGTTTCTCCAAAGCACTAATTAGTCACCGCACATTTCGAATATTAATCCTTTTCTGAAACACTTCAATACTTTTGGTATTCAATAATAAAAATTTTGAATTAAAATTAAAATTTTGATTTTTTGAAAAAAATTTAAAAATTAAAATTTTGATTTTTTGAAAAAAATTTAAAAATTAAAATTTTGAATTTTTTCAAAAATTAATATTTTGAATTTTTGGAAATTAAAATTTTGTGTTCGGATAACTTTAAACTGTTATCCGAAGTGTTCGGATAACCTTAAACTGTTATCCAAAGTGTTCGGATAACCTTAAAATGTTATCCGAAGTGTTCATATAACCTTGAAATGTTATCCGAAGTACTCGGATAACCTATAATTGTTATCCGAAATGTTCGCATAGCCTATAAATGTTATCCGAAGTGTTCGGATAACCTTAAAATGTTATCGGATGTATTCGAATAACAAATAAATGTTATCCGAAGTACTCGGATAGTCTATAATTGTTATCCGAAGTACTCAGATAACCTATAATTTTTTTTCCAAAAATTAAAATTTTGATTTTTTTCCAAAAATTTAAATGTTGATTTTATTTTCAGAAATTAAAATTTTGAATTTTTTCAGAAAATAAAATTTTGGAATTTTTTCGGAAATTAAAATTTTTGATTTTTCAAAAAATAAAATTTTGGAATTTTTTCAAAAATTAAAATTTTCAATTTTTTCAAAACTTAAAATTTTGAATTTATTCAAAATAAAAATTTTGATTCTTTCAAAAATAAAAATTTTGAATTTTTTCAAAAATTAAAATTTTGAATTTTTCAAAGTTTTTTAAAAAAAACGAATTTTAAAAATTTAAAATATTTTTTCCAAATAATTAAAATTTTGGATTTTTTTCAAAAATTAAAATTTTGAATTTTTTTGAAAAAAATATTTTTTTTTTTTTCAAAAAGTAAAATTTTGAATTTTTTCAAAAATTAAAATTTTAAATTTTTTCAAAAATTAAAAATTTAAATTTTTTAAAAGTTAAAATTTTGATTTTTTAAAAATAAATATTTTAAATTTTTCCAAAATTTTTTAAAAAAATAAATTTTGAAAATTTAAATTTTTTTTCCAAATAATTAAAATTTTGGATTTTTTTCAAAAATTAAAATTTTAATTTTTTTTTTAAATTAAAATTTTGAATTTTTTCAAAAAGTAAAATTTTGAATTTATAAATTTTGATTTATTTCCAAAACTTAAAATTTTGAATTTTTTTAAACTTAAAATTTTAAATTTCTTCAAAAATTAAAATTTTGCATTTTTCAAAAAATTAAAATTTGGGATTTTTTCAAAACTTAAAATTTTGAACTTTTTTTCAAAAATTAAAAAAAAATAATTTTCAAAAAATCACATTTTTCAAAAAATTAAATTTTGAATTTTTTACAAAAATTAAAATGTTGAATTTTTTCAGAAATAAAAATTTTGATTTTTGGAAAAAAAATACAATTTTCAAAAACATAAATTTTGAAAATTTAAATTTGTTTTTCAAAAAATTAAATTTTGACAATTTTTTTTTATTCTAAGACATCACATTTTTCAATTTTTTCTAAAATTTATTAGAATAAAATGTTGAATTTTTAAAAAAATTAAAATTTTGAAAATTTTCTTCATAATTTCTGTTTTTGAAAAAATTCAAAAAAAAAATAAATTTTGAAAATTTTCTTCAAAATTTTTGTTTTTGAAAAAATTCAAAAAAAAATAAATTTTGAAAATTTAAGTTTTTTTCCAAAAATTACATTTTCAATTTTTGTATTTCAAAAAATTAATTGTTTTCAAAAAATTTAATGTTGAAATTTTTTAACCTTTCATTTTATTGTAAGATTTTCAATTTTTTCTTAAAATTTATTAGAATTATTTTTTCAGCTTCAATAAAGAGTTAAAGGGAGAGAGAATTAACTTCTCTCTCCTCTCTCCTCCGAGAAACCTACACAAAGAGATAATTGTTTCATCAAAAAAATGACTTGGAAACGAAAATTTTGTAATTTTCCTTTACAGATTTTCACTCTGCCTCCCTCTCTCCACCATCTCTCTCTCCTGGAGTAATCTAAACCAGAGAACAACATAAACAAGCAATGCCCCAAAATAGTTAAGAAAACAAAAACAAAAAACGCGCATAAAACCAAGCATTTGTAGTTTGTAGAACAATAATAAAAAAATTAGTAATTTTTTATAAAAATCAACAACAATAACAAAAAATCAAATATGCCAACAAATACAAAAACAACCACAATGCTTATGTCAAACAATAAAAATAAATTAAAAAAATCAAAATAACGAAGAAAACTCCTCAAAAGTAGTTGGGTGCCTATATGAAAAAAAAAATATTTAAAAAAAAATTAAATAGTTCTAAATTTATAAAAATATTGAAAAAAAATATTCCATAAACGGTTTACAACAATACGAAATAAAATTAAACAATAATTAGCAATATATAGATGAAAAGCGTCAAATGGAAAAAAATATTCAAAATTCAATTTAGTATATTGAAAAAAAAAATTGAATAAAAAAAAATAAAAAAAACCATTTATTTATATATAAACGATATATATTTTTAGTAGAAAAACAAATTACAAAAAAAATTAAAAAATTATAGTCAAATAAATAAGAAAATTTAAAGCCAAGTAAATAATATATATAGAGAGAAAAATAAAACAACACCCCTTAAACAGATCAATTGTTAAAATCCCAAAAATTAAACAAAAACCCAAAAACCCAACAACAACAACTAATTACAAAAAAATGGAACAAAAAGTTATTTAGGAGAATTTTTTTTTAGAAAAAAATGTTTGAAAAAAAAATATTTTTTCCAAAAAAAAATATTTTTTTAAATTTTAATTTTTTTAAAAAACCTTAATTTTTTTCAAAAAAAAATTATAAAAAAATATTTTTTTTATTAAATTTTTTTTTTTCAAAAAAATATTTTTTTTATAAAAAATTATTTTTTTTTATAAAAAAAAAATTAGAAAAAAATGTTTGAAAAAAATATATTTTTTTTTTTTGTAAAGAAGAAAAAGATTTTTTCTAAAGAACTTAATTTTTAAAAAATATTTTTTTATAAAATTTTTTATTTCAAAAAATTTTTTTTTATAAAAATTAAAATTTTTTATGCAAATTCATTTATTTGTAATTTTTTTTTTATTTTTTGTAAAATTTTATTTTTTACAAAAAATAATTTTTATAAAATTTTGAATGAATTTAAAAAAAAACTTTTATTTGTAAAAATTTATTTTTATTATAAAAAAATGTATTTAAAACAAAAAATAGTTTTTATAAAAAAAAATATTTTTTATAGAAATGTCCGTCTGTCCGCCCGTCCATGTATTTTTGTGAAAAAAAGTACAGGTCGCATTTATGATCCGATTTGAATCAGAGTTGGCACATATCACTTATTTGGCCCAAGGACGAACCCTATTGAAATTAAAGAAAATCGGTTCAGATTTAGATATAGCTCCCATATATATTTTCGTCCGATTTTAAGTAAATTGTGTACCAATGTCCCTATATATCATGCGATTTGCACGAAATTTGGCACAGCGTACGGAATTAAGTCTAGATTGATATATGCCAAGTTTTGTTGATATCGGTTCAGTTTTAGATATAGCTGCCATATATAGTTTCGCCCGATTTTACGTAAATGGTGCACCAAAGTCTCTATATATCTCTCGATTTGCACGAAATTTGACACAGCGTTCTGATTTAAGTCTAGAAAGATGTGTGTTGAATTTCGTGAAAATCGGTTCAAATTTAGATATAGCTGCCATATATATTTTCGTCCGAATTTATGTAAATGGTGTACCAATGTCTCTATATATCATGCGATTTGCACGAAATTTGGTACAGCGTTCTGAATTAAGTCTATAAAGATGTGTGTTAAATTTCGTGAAAATCGGTTCAGATTTAGTTATAGCTCCCATACATAGTTTCGTCCGATTTTAGGTAAATGGTGCACCAAACTCTCAATATTGATCCGATTGGCACAAAATTTTACACAGAGTATTGAATTAGGTCTAGTTTGTTGAAATCGTTTCAGCACCATACTGCCAATATTAGTCCGATTGAGACCAAATTTCGCACAGAGTATTGAATTAGGTCTAGATAGATGTATGCCAAGTTTGATTGAAATCGGTTCAGATTTAGCTATAGCTCCCATGTATAGTTTCGTTCGATTTTATGTAAATGGAGGACCATACACTCAATATTGGTCCGATTGAGACAAATTATTGTA